TGCTTTTGGATTTGCGCTTTCATCTTTTTGTCACATTCTTCCTCGGCACTAAAAAGAGAATGAATTTTGTGAAAACTTTCAGATTACGTCATATAAGGTCTCTAAAAGTTGTAAAACAGAAGGGTTCACTGCCCGGGTGACTAGGAAGCGAAGAAGAAAAGGAAGCATGGAAAAGGAAACAGTCCTCCTATAAACTCACGATTTGATGGCGTGGGTGAGGAAGTTGAAGTCGTGGAGAATGAGGAATTCTTTCAGATCATTCGTCAGTTTCAAAAGTTCATCACATGCCCTCACCTAAAGAAAAATAAAGTAAAGATAATATAACCAGACAAGGCCTCGTGCAAAATATAAAACCGTGATACAAAAAATTACAGGGCACCCGGCCCAGCAATAACATACTGATAAATCTCAAACAATTCCGACATGAATAGCTCCAAAAGTCGATAATATTGAAAGCAGCAATCAAAGACTATGGAAAAGAAATCGAATGAGAGTTCGATTCAAAACCACATCTTTTCCTCTCAAAAAAAAAACCTAAGGAGCCAATACAGCGATGAAAAGTTCCGAAGCCAATAGAATCAGAATCGAAACCGAATCAGTTCACTTTCGTCAGAGTAAAATTTCGAGCCCAATTCAGCTTGAGTAGAAATAGCAATGAAAAAAAAAACGAACGATAAGTGCGGCTCTCGCTGCCATTTCATTTTTAATCGTGTAGTATTCCGTCATTTTGCCCGAACTGTTCTTGTGCGCTGCGTCATCAGTGTTAATCTGAAAATCGTGAATTTGGAGAATAGAACCTTGTAAAGTTGTAGAAAATTACACCCTAACGGGGCCTTTTGAGGAGAACTTTAGGGTGAAGTAACATCAAATCGTGCGACGCCCAAAATTCTGGGGTACTTTCATCCTCATCTTCCAAACACGGCACTAAATTTTATGAATCAAAGGCGGTTGTAAGGCGTGGGAATCTTACAATTAGTTGGGTCGTGCAAGGGGACCTTACAGCTGGAGGTTTTGAAAATGAGAGCGCTCTGTTCAATTGCGCGACGATAACTGGCTGACATTATGAAATTTTATTCTCCTTCTGAGCTGTTGGTAGAGCAAATGGATCAAAAGTCCTGTCAACATGGCTTTGGATAGAGTCAGCTCTGGAATCTTGAAGTCTTTTTGAAAATGAATTCTCAATGGTCAAAATAGGAACACCGTGTGATCGGTATACAATCAAATGCACATTTTACGCCACTCCAACAATTTTTGATGGGTTCACTGATTAAGTTTTCGGAAAGTCATTTTGCTACCATCTTTCAAAGGTGATTCTTGTAAAGGTGACTACAATCATCAACAAACCTTTGTAGCGTTAAGTATGTTTATGAAGTTGTCGTTGAGAGAGCGTATATTGTCGCGAAGCCTACGTTTATA